TAGTCCTTGTCCCCTACTCTAAACTCTCTAAGACCACCCCCAAGCCCACTTTTGACAGCTTCCACTGACCATCTCTTTCATCCTGAGTTACCAGGGCAGAATAGAAAGTTGCCAGAAACACCAGGCTTAAAACTTGAATCATCTTTGATACCTGTTTTTTTCCTCATACCCAATTGATTAATTAAAATAATCTTTTAGATTCCTATCCCTGTCCATTTTCAAAGCCAGGATTTGACTGTCATAACATACCCCATTGTGCATATCATTGCCAAAACAATCTTTCTGAAGTACTAATTAGGTTTTTGAGCAGAGAGAGTGAAATGATCATCCTTTCCAGGATGCAGTGTAGCTGCTATGCAGTAAATGTACTATCCTGAAATAATCTGTGGTACTTCAAGTTTCTGCTTTGTGTTCACACTGTTTTCTTTGACTTTAAATGCAGTTTCTCTCTACCTATAAAAATCTTAGTTGTTATAGAGTCTACCAAAGATCTTTTCTCTTCTGTGAAGCCTTCCCTGTCAACCCTAACTAAAATCCCTTCTCTGAGCTCTTAGCTCAAGCTACTCATTGAGCTGGAGTAAGACTTCTGTGATACTTAGAAAAAAGGTGAGAGGTTGTTTTCCCAGTGAGATTCCAATAGCGTTTCATACCTTATGCTTCTGTCCCCTTTAACACTTAGCAGAGTATACCACATATAGGAGTGTGCAAATATTTGATAATTGGTTTACTCACAAGAATTTTTTGTAAAATTTCTTGCTACTGTCTACCCAAGAAGGAATGAAATGTGCAAGCTTATGTAGCTGTTTGTTGAATCTGGGGCACCTTATTTATCTCTGTGTTCCTTGAGTAGTTGGGTCTTGGAAAATAATTATTGGCTTTGGGGATGGGTTGTGTGTATTTTGGAGAGGGAAGTAAAGCTATTGGACTTTTAAAACTGTAGCCTTTTCTGTCTTAAAGTATTTTGCTTCCTGTTACTGTATTCATAAGTTCATATTGGTACAAGCAGTGTCTTGCATATTTATTTCCTTTCTCTGTAATACAGTATTTTCAAACTTTAGTGAGATATTGAATTAGAATCTCTGGGAGTGGGGCCTAGGATTCTGCATTTTTACTAAGAACCACTTGAGTTGCTTATGAAGGTGGTGGTGGTGGTAGTGATGGTGGTGATGATGATGATAATGATTGTGATAGCTCTACTTTTGGAGGCTTATCACGTGCCTGGTGCACTCTTCTAGGCAGTTTACAGCTATTAACTTACCTAATGTTCACAGAAAGCCTATGCAGTAAGATGCTATTGTTATCTTCAGTTTTCAGGTGGAGAAACCGAAGCAGAGATAAATTAAATAACTTATCCCCAAAATAACTTTCTTATAAATGTAAAAAGCTGTGAAAAGGATGAGGTATATTTCTTTAGCTGATTAAAAAAATCCCACTTTCTAAATGACTGCTGTGAGTGATATGAATAAGCTGGTTCTTCTTATATATATTGGCATAGCAATATGCTTACTCTATATAGAATATTTCAACAACTAGACCTAAATATGGATTGCTTTTAGGAAGCCAGTTACAATCTAGGTGAAAAAAGTAGGCACACACACACAAACTTAGCACATTGAGGAAAACCTTAAAATATTACACTTTCTAATAAACTCAAATGATTTTAAGAAGACTGCTCTTTACTGTATATACGCACATACTTACATATATACTTACACACGTACATATATATTTGCCATATATATGTAATATATACATATATAATGTATTGAGATGTTACTTTGTGACCAAATGAATATTAGTAACACTCCTTGAGCATATATTTTTTTGCTTTAATAGCGTAAGATAAATCCTTATTTTATATGCTAAAATATTTTATTCTATTTTTTAATAATAAGTGGTAAGAATATTTTATGCCCTTTGGCTCACAGGCTCTGGACAGTGCAGTGGCAGGGGGGTGGTGGTGCAGACTGTGTGATGGTTGTGGTGGTGGTAGGGTGGTACTAACTTGTTTAGCATCGTTGCCTGCTAAAAGACTTTTAGTGTATGATTTAGGTGTTGCCTAATGAGCGCTCTGACTTTTGAGACTAGTTGAACTAAAAAGCATGTTATGTTTTACTAGAAACATCTTATGAGTTATAACTGAATAGACAATAAACTCTACATTGAGTTAGTGGCCAGCTTTTATCCTTACAACTAAATCTAAGCAGTGTTTCTACTGTTTTATATTTCTCATTTACAAATTTTCTGAACTTCTTTTGCTGTCCCTTTATATATAGTTGGGATGAGTTATATCACCTGAAGCGGTCAAGATAAGACTCTTTATTTCTAATACTGTCCATGTGGTGTGCTTAAATTGCTAAACAATTCTATGAAAAACTGGATAAAATAGGGTGTCAGGAAGTGAAAGAAAAACAGATGTGATTCATTGAAAATTCTAGGAAATTGTCTTTTTTATAGAAAGTTTGGATAAAATTTTATGTATATTCCTCAAATTCACATGGTTAGTCTATAGGAGTTGTGTGTAAGATTGAATGCTTCCCTCCTATGAAGAGGGAGGTATCAGGTTTAAATTAATCATACAGCTTTCTTTACCTTACTTTATTATGAGTTGGTTCTTTGCATTTTCTGGGGCTGATGATCTGAATGTTTGAGATGTAGTACGGAGGTAAAAAGTTGAAATCTTCTTAATAACATTACATCTCTTTCTGAGGCGTAACTATTTTTTTCCTTGATTACAGTAAAAGAAGCATTTGTTCTTAAGGGGTGTTGACTTTGCCGCTGACTAGCAGTGTGACTTTGGGCAAATAATGTCATATTACTGGCTATGCTTCTTCATTTATAAAATGAAAGGTAGTGTTAAATTCTAAAACTCTTATAATTGGATTAGTAAAATATATTTAAGATTATATACAAACACATAAACACATTGACAGGTCACTTGCTGCTCAGCATTGCTGGAGTGTGAAAGTAGTTTTGTTGTGTTAGGTGCATTATCAATAATGTTATTCACACCAAGAAGTTCATTCTGTGATTTTTGATTTGTGATTTTGTTAATCTGATAGTAGTGGCTTTTCAGGATTATGTCTCTTGTCTTAAAAATTAAATTAGTGCCATGATGATTGGGATCATTAGGATGAGTGACATGAACAAATTTAGAATTTCTTCTCTTATATTGAAAGCCTGATTTTATATATATATGTGTATATATATATTTTATATATATATGTATATCTCCATGTACATATGTATCTCCATGTTCTGTAATTTTATTTGGCTAAGGAATTTATCTTTGATCTTCCAGACTGAGGACATGGATACTTCCCTAGCCATATTCTATATTTAATTAATTTTTGTTTTGAGGTTTTCATCATGTTAAATAAGAATGAAGTGGTTGTATATTTTCTGCTTTAAAAATGCTTCTTGATATAAAGTCTTGTCAGATCAGCCCCACATGTGACAAACCTATTCAAACAATTTAATCTGCCCCAATGTACTTGTTTCTTTCTTGGAAATCTAGCCATTCATATGTCTTTATGAGCTGTTTTCTCCTTCCTCCACCCCCATGCTAACTTTTAGAAGCTCTTTGAGAAAGGAGTTTAACCTTTTCTTTGTATCTCATATTACCCAGGAAAGAACTCTGTTAGTCTCTAAATAGTGTATAAATGTTCTTGCTATTGAGGATTTTGGATGAAAAATTATTGGATAGAATGGAATAAGCCTGTTTCTAGGATAGCAAACTGTCTGGGGTCAGTGTGATTAACTCAAGACATAGCAGTTTTGTTAAGCTCTACGCTTTGTTCTGAAGTCAGTTTCTCTTGATTTAACCATAAACTGATTCTTCACCTTGTATTCTGTCTTATATAACACCTTGGTATCAGGTTATTGATAGGGGAAGGGCTGTCAGTGTGTAGGTTGGATAGATGTGCATGTGCGTGTACACATGTACTCGTGTGTGTTTATGGGAGAGAGAGTGGGAATATACGAGAGTTTGGGGTACATGTTATGTTTAGCATTCTAATCTGAGTCTTACATATCTGACTTAGTTATGTGCGTTTAATTTTGGACCTATTATACTTGACATTCAGAAACAATTTTCAATCAGTAGTAAACACGATACCTTAGGAAGATAAGGACATGTTTTCCTTTCCTTTCATGTTTTCATTTTAGCTTTACTCTATTATTTGTTTGCCAAAGACTTAAATTGTCAAGGATAAATAACTATTGAAATGGGCCAACTTATAGCTGGGCAGAAGTGATATTGGGCCTCTGAGGTATATCTTAACATATAAGAACAATATAATATGCCTAATATTTGAGAAGCATCAAAACAGAGACTGTAAAACTCAACAATCTTAAAGCCTAATGGTCAAAAATTATATTTAATTGACAGGCTCTACATACGTTAGCTATAATAATTAAGAGGAAAAGAGCCTAAGTTGGTGCAAAAAAGGGGCTGACTTGTTTTTACACTATAATTAGAAGTTGGTAACCATAAATTTTGTTTTCTCAATACAAAGACTGATGTTGGCAGGCAGGGCATGTCTTTTCAGTGTAACCTTTAACTTCTTATAGTATGTATTACTACAAGCAGTTGATGATTTAATAAATATTTTATGAATATAAATGATATTGTGAAAGTGTTTCCAAATATTACAATTAGTTTTAAAATAGAGTCAGTGTTTGACAGAATTTAAATTTGTGACTCATAATTTATAGATACATCATTAAATAAATACCATCTTTATCATGTGTTAATTTGGGTTACAGAATAATTCAGGGAGCTTTTTTGGAAGCAGTTGAAATTTACTCAAAATTGTTCTCTGAAGATATTAGAATTTTAGACATTTTTTTTTGGTCCCAGCATTTCTTCTTAAACGTAATGTTATGACTGCTCGGAAGGAAGTAAATCAAAGTCACTCACTTTATTTTCCAATTTAGAGTCATTGCTCATTATCAGTTGGTGGGTGTGGAAACAACTTAATAAAGTTTGGGTAATTTAGTTTCAGTTTAAATTCTCAACTGGCAATTGGCCGAAAACTCCCATCTGAAGACGTGAGCATCCAAATGTCCTTTTGTGATTTGGCTACTGTCTGCTTGACATAGGAAGGCCCTGTCAAGAGAAACTAATGGAGTGACTATCAAAAGAAAATCAATGGTAAGAGTTTTCATTTAAATTATAATATATGTGTATATATGTGTGTTTGTAAAGCATACCAGTTTATTATATTTGAATTAAATTTTAGAGCTTTTAAAATCTAGGACATAATTAATGCCAAATGTTTGAATTTATATGTCTGTGACTTACATTTGTAATAAAATAAATGCAAAGAATGGTTTTATAGATGAGATTTTATATGCTTAATGTTGATAAGAAAATAGTAATAAAAGTGTGAAAAATCAGCTATACAATTCGTCTAGTTTAGCAAATTCAGTTTTTTTGTAGTTCTACTATAGTTAATTATCTTTAAAAATAGCATATTATAAATATTGCTTGAATAAAGTTTAACTTTAAAAAAAAATTTATCCCAAACTGAATTTATCTCTTAGTTTGATAGATGCTTCTTACTTAAAGTAAATGTCATAAATTTTTCAATAAAGTAGTCTGTTAATTCCTGTTTTGTTTTTTACTTCCATTGTAAAATAATAGGGGGGGAAGAAAGAAAGTATAATGTCATATAATAAAATTCACTTAGTTTAATATTAGGCCTTTAAAAATGTATCATTGCTACTGTACCTCTGTGGAAAACATTAAATTCTCAAGATCAGACGTTTATATAGCCAAATTAAGTAGAGTAGCTATTAATAATATAGCACAGCATCACATTTTGGTGGTAAAATCAGACATCTCTCCCCTGCCTTAGACATGTTTGCACTGAGAAAATAATTGAAATTTGGCTACATTTTTGTGTGTTTCAAGTAACCTTCAACTTAAAATTTTTATCCTCATTGTATTTAGTTCCTACATATCCCTTTATTCAGACACCCCTGTCTGATCTGTGATTAGTTAACTTCGGACAAGATAGTAGCTTAAAGGTTGGAATCTAAAATCACTGCTTCTCAGAGCTTATTCTGGTGTCTCCATGGACGTAGTAGCTTTGTGGTAACTGGATAATGGGAGATGAAGGTCAGATATTAATAATAGATAGTGATTCTGTTGTCAAGATTGACATAGTTTGAGTACTTTTTCTTGCTCAATTAGAGATGTCAAAATGATGTTAACTGAATGTGACCATGTTCTTAACTGTTTTCTAGAGCTTAATAACAAACAGATCAAGAATAGCACATGTAACAAACACCTAGCACAGCATCTGTCATCGTGTAAGCATTCAGACATTGACAATGAACTAAGTACTCTAGATGGCATCTTTCCTTCAATCCATCCATCTAATAATTCCAATTTTTATAGACTGTCTGCTGTGTGCCATCCATTCAGTTAGGTGCTGAAGATAAAATGGTGCAATTAAAAACGGATACTTCCTAACTGCTCTTGAACTCCCATTGTTGATGGAAATTACAGTGTAGATAAAATTACACAGGCAAATGTAAAATTGCAACTGGAACCAATACTATGGAAAAGTGTAGGTTACTATAATAGTAGAAGCAGTAGGGTCACTGTGTAAATAAAGCACAGAACCCACATAGTTATTTCTTAAAGTGAATTGATAACTTGTTTTTTGAACTTTTTAAGTTTATAATTCTATTAAATGAGTATCTTCTAAGCAAGGCATGCAGAAAAAATAAATTCTAACCACGGAAAAATACAATTTTTATGCTGCTATTTTATTTTCTTAGATTCTTAAGAATTTATAATAAAGCCTTGTCAAAGTAGCATTCTTATGTGAGAATGCCGCTTACAGGAGAGAATTCTTATAGGATCCTTTAACATTTCAGGATTGAATGCAATGAATGAGGACCCCGATTTCTTCAGCTGAATTCGTTAATTAAAGGATGTCAACCATAAACAAACTGCTGTCCTCTCGTTAGCAACTATTCCTTTGTAGTATCAAGCCAGTATAGGGATTTATCTGTCACTCATTTTGTATCATTGAGTTGTTACATGCAGACGTCCTTCATCAACTTTTATCCCTTTTTGAAAGAAAAGAATGTAAAATTTATGTTTGTTTTATAAATTTATTCTAAAGCATACATATTTATTAAATTTTTGAAAGTAAAATGGTAGAGCATTTGGATGCCTAAATGTTTACACTTTTTTGGTAGGACACAGAGAATCTCATCTAAGGGAAAGACACTAGTGATGTTTGAAAAATAATGAAGTTAGTTGTTTTCATATGTTAAATCTGTCAACATTTTTAAAAACTCTCATTGAAGGCTAGCTTTTCTTTTTTCAGCTGAGAGTATAAACAAATTGAATTAGAGTATAAAATATAGTATGAAACAAAAATCAGAAAAGCTTACTTTTATAATAGAAACGATCTTTCTCTAATTTACTGCTAAAATATGTATGCTATTTAAAATAGTAAATGTCTTTTTCAAATAGCAAAAATCCAAATTAAGTCCTTTTTTAATTTTTCCTCAAAGTTAGTATGTTGAGTTTAATCTCTACAGTGACTTTTAAATTTAGTTTTTCCTGGGTATACTGAGAAGAAGGTCACCAACCTCACTTGCAGGTATTCTGATTTGAAGATCTTAGCTCAGTTACTAGGCAGTTCCACTTGTCAATGCTGGGAGAAAGATGTCCTTCCCATACCTCCCAGAAGGAGTGTCTTGAGGGAAATGTTTCTTGCTGGGTAACATGTCTTGCAATGCCATGACATTTTGCTTCTTTGACAGTTCTTTTTGATTCTATGCAGTTAGCTTTGATTGGTCCATGATGTCAGGTGGAGAATTGGGCATTTAGCCACACAAAGATACTTAAAACACATAGATATGTAAACATCACAGATGAAATGTGATACATAGCACTTCTTTTAGTGAAATGAATGAAACATGATCCTTGTTTCTAAGCAAACAAAGGTCCACCAATAGTCATCAATTTTTAACTATATAACTTCTCAGTATAGCAAACAATGCAGTATCCTATTGGGTGTGTATGTTGTAATATAGTGGCTTCTGTTTTGAAATTTGGGGTTACTCCTGTCGGAGGAAATGGTGATTAACAATGGTGTGGAATTGGCAGTGTGAGAAAGGAAAATTTTAATAAATTTATTGTTTATAAGTTGTGGGAAGGAAAAGAACATTTCAGTTCAGTATAAGGAAGAACCTTTTAAATATGGAAAATAAAATGGAGTGCCTTCCAAGATCCATTCTTTTAAGAATCTGTGACAGAAGTTTATAAAGAAGGAATTCTTGCTTGATATAAATTACAAGGATTATTTGAAGGAAATTTGTGGTACATCTTAAAAATTTGAATATATTCATAATAATATATAAATATATAAAATCTTTTGTGAAATAGATATTACTAGTAATATTAAGCTACTACTAACAGTAGGGTCTTTATTAAACAAACTTGAGATAAAAAAAGCAAATCCCATTCATTTATTTATGCGGTAAATTCTTATTGACAACCTGCTCTGTGTCAGGCACTACACTGGGCATTGGAGGCTTAGTCATGAATAAGTCTGATGTGACTCCCTCCCACATTATAATCTGTCAGGGAAGATGACATTAAATCACAATCACAATAAAGTATAGTGGCTTGTAACATTATAAAAACAAAGCAGTCCTTTCTTAAGGATACCTTGAGAATTGATCTGTAGTATGCTAATAATTTAATCAGTTTACTTTCTTCGTGAACTGAGGTTATCTATTTTGACTTAAAAATTGGACAAAAATTCTTTGAGACTGGTCTTAGAAATTAGTAGAGACTGAAATAGTCTTGGTGAGTTTTTTTTTCCCCCAGTAAGGAAGATTGGCCCTGAGCTAACATCTGTTGCCAATCCTCCTCTTTTTGCTTGAGGAAGATTGTCGCTGGGCTAATACCTGTGCTGGTCTTCCTCTGCTTTATATGTGGGATGGCTTGATGAGTGGTGTGTAGATCTGTGCCTGGGATACGAACCCACGAACCCCAGGCTGCGTAAGCAGAGCGCAAGCTTAACCACTATGCCACCAGGCCGGCCCCTAGTCTTGTTTTATGTATAGCTTATTAAAAAAAAAAATTGCTATGGAAAGATCTTCAAGTTTCTGAGGTATCAAGAAATGGGAATATGAGCAGAACAAACTCATAATGCCAGTCATGTATATTATACATTATACAGATCATTTAATAAAATTGTACGAAGCAGTTTTACATTAAAAATTTCCAAGTTATAGTGGTTAATAAGTTGAGCTCTAGAGTCATACTGGTTGGGTTTGAGTATTAACTCTGACACAAGTTTTGCAATCTTAGGAAAGTTGTATAACTCCTCTGTGCTTCAGTTTCCTCATCTGTAAAATGGGGATAATAAGAATATAAAAAATTAAATTATTTGATGCATATAAAATGCATAGAACAGTATCTAGCACATAGAAAGTGCTTATAGAGAGGGCTCCGTATGTTGTTGTAGTTAACAACAACGATAACAATAATAATAATAATTTCCTCATGTCAAAAATGTCCTACCTAATTCGCAAAGTTGGGACAACTGAAATAATTGCAGAACGGTGCTTCAGGTATATATCTTACACTACAGACAGCTGTTATCTTTATTACTGCTCAACAAAATGCCAGTGAAATTCTCACCCTCTTTAGTAGCAATATAGCAGTCACTCAAAGCCCTCCATAGTTTGTGTCTCCAGGACCAAGGTTGTCTCAGCATTTAACCCAAGACTCAGTCTGTCCCAGGCAGCATGGAACTGATTCTTCTTGTCTGAGAAAGGAAGAGACAAAGATCGTCTCTTATTTACCCCATGGAAGATAAGCCCAAACCAGATTAGAGTGAATGAGGGAAGGAAATGACTATGTCAATATTAAATATTCTTTTCCCTGCAGAAACCTCAATAAATGGTTCCTTCCTATAATAGTCTACATAACATTTGTAGTATTTGTAAACTTAATAGTATATAGCGATACTTGATACTTTACTTATCTTATTAGAAAACATTGTTTTCTGTCTTAAGATAGTCATATATTACATTATCTACTTCTATATATAATTTATGAAAATATTTTTAAATTTGTAAAAACATTTCTTTTATGTAGACGTTTACTGTATC